GAGCTTTGGTAAAACCGACCCAGAATCGTGGTCCTTGTAATCTGTCTTCTTACCATTTCTTGAGACAAATAATCAGAGATTCCAAACCCAGAATCAAAATTTTCTGTTTTCGTAAATCGATTGTGAATATCCTTGATTTCTTTAAAAAAAAACTTTATTTCAATATCAAAAAAGTCGACTTTTTCCGGGTTTTGATTGATTAGTATTTGTGAATAATGGATTCTGATTCATGGACTGATCGTCTTGCTTCGGCTACGAGGAGATACCAGCTAGCTTTTCCATCACGCTCTGGTGAGTCTTTATTTAAAGGATGTGAATTGTTTTTTCTCCCTCTGTTCTTCGCCATTATTATCTGATCTTGGAGTACGTTTTGCTGTCTGAAAATTGATGGGTGAAGGTATTTTAGCCTATTTAGGTGCTATACTTGAGTTTTCTTTCCAATTTAGAATCTTGATTTTGTTTGGAGCTTGAGACAGTTTTATTGGAAATCTTCGATTTTGTTTGGAAGATTTCGTCATTTCTCTAATTCATGGCTTTAGGATTTGTTTGATACTTTAGAAAATGAAGAAAAGGGGCTTCTCTATTTGATTCATGTAGCAGGGCTTGATTTTTATATGAACATTTGTGGATTGTTAATTGTTTGCTTCTCTGGTTTTGCTCGATTTCTGAGAAAATGGATGAAACATATCCAAAGTTGTTGTCTTTGTAGCAATGTTTGATGCTACTACGCTCAATGTTTATGAACATGAGAAATTCAGGTTTTGTTCTCAGAAGAGAGAGAAGTTTCATGTGCTGTTATAACATTTCATTGGAGTAGGGTTTGAAGCATTTTCGATCATTCTCTTTGATTTAGTATAGCTTTGATGGATTTCTGTGGGATTGCAGATCCGTTCTTAGGGTTTGAAGAGGTAGATGGAGAAGAAGAGTTCAGGGAAGAGTTTGCTTGCCCTTTCTGTTCTGACTATTTTGATATTGTGTCTCTCTGTTGCCACATAGATGAAGATCATCCTATGGAAGCCAAAAATGGGGTAAGTTTTCTTACCCTTAAAACAACTGTTTATCACATTTGAAGCAAGCAATGTGTATATGCATTTCTGATTCATCACATGAAAGTTTAGAGTGTGTTTCTTGGAGGGTATAACAGAAGCAACTGCCAATTGAAACTCTACGAGTACAAATATGAAATAATAGCATGTTATTTAGTGAGACTCATGGCGGAATAATGGAATTGGCTTTTCGGTGTAGTATTGTAGTTGCCGTTTGCTGGTTTTTTATTGAAGAAACTCTGTTTTGTTTATTGAACTTATTTCTCATAGTGACATTGTTATTGCAGGTGTGTCCGGTTTGTGCGGTTAGGGTGGGTGTTGACATGGTTGCTCATATAACGCTTCAGCACGCAAATATATTCAAGATATCCTTTTTTCATTCTCTCTGTCAAGCCTTATGTTAACAATCGATTGTCTCTCTTAGTAGTTCTCTATTGTGTTTGTAACACGCCTTAACGAGATATTACATGCAGCGCAAGAGAAAATCAAGAAGAGGCGGGCCACATTCCACGTTATCAATCTTGAGGAGAGACTTTCCTGATGGAAACTTTCAGAGTCTATTTGGGGGATCTTCGTGTATAGTATCTTCTTCCTCATCGTCCAATGTAGCGGCTGATCCATTGTTATCACCGTTCATTTCGCCAATTGCTGATGGGTTCTTCACTTCAGAATCATGTATATCTGCAGAAACCGAACCTGTCAAGAAAACATCAAATCAAAGTTTACCTGAAAGGTAAACTTCCTCCTTCTCAATCATCTGCTCTGCCTAACCTCTTATGCTCATTGTTCAGTCTTGTTGGTTAAAATCTGGCATTTAGCTGGTATTTCAAAAGACTGATGAATCTCCAAAGATCTGCTCCAACCTAAATAATTCAGTTATTGCTCTCCAACTTCGCATTAGGTCATTTGATCATCCTCTTACTCCAGTGAACTTTGTAGTCTTTGGATCAAACATTTTGTGTTGCTGAACTTATGTTTTGGAAACTTGGGACTTTATGAGCCAAATTGAAACACTTTGATCAAGTTGAATGGTATAAGTACGTATATGGATCATTGATGAAGATTTTGTTGATAATAGGAATGAGAAAAAGCCCTCTCTTTCAGCTGAGGATCACAAGCTGAAGGTGAAATGGAGCGAGTTTGTTTGTGAGCTATTGAGCTCTACGATTCTTGACGACGGCTTATAATGGAGGATATCGCTTCTGGTAACGTCTCAGCAAACGAGGTAACTCCATGTTCTGTTGCGGGGGGAAATGTACGGATTTGTTGTTTGTGAGGGAACAAATAAAGGAGAGAGAGCTTTGTAGGGAGAAAGAAGAAAGAGAGATGATGAGTGTAACTTATGAACACATTAGCTTCTGCGGTTAACGCTCAAAGTGTCTGTAGGTAATGTATCTATTTGCTTTCAATTATTCGTTTCCAATTCTATAGTTCCGGTTACATCTTTTTTAACAGAATTAAATTTAAGTGTTTTTGGATACCAGAAAATCCTCTGTTTCTCACAGCTATTCTACTTCCAAAGATATGTATCAAATTATTAATGGGTGGAAGATTATTAATCTGCTTTATACATATAACAAAATATCATATGATATTGAACACAACGTCTTAATTGAACAAAACAACAACAATGCTTTGGGTAGAGGAG